AATAGCGTAGTGGGGCAATAGAGGAGCATCGAGCGATGAAGGGGCGACATTAGGCGATTGACAGCATAGACATTCTATGGAGTTGTCTTCCGAGTGGGGAGTCCCCACTCCAGGTGCTGAAAGACAGAGACAGAGACTCGGGTGATTGGCGTGAAAGCATCTGTCTCACTCCGAAGTTTGACTCACTTCCCCTCTCACACGCGCAGTCTATTTCTTATACGTCTATGGCGTTGAATGACGTTCAAGTTTACGTACAAATTTAAGTTCATAGCCAACTTAACGTAACGTAACGCGTTAAGAAAGAGTTTGTGCGGAGGCTCTTAATCGCCGATTAAGTTAATTGGAGATGGTGAAAACGGGCGTAAGAAGAAAGAAGCATGTTTTAAGCCTGTTCTACATTGATCGCAAGCGCAAACGCAAGGAACAGATCTAATAGAATTGACTAATCGTATTGATCAAATCAGCCAATTGATCAGCGTGATTGGTCAATTCTACGAGATCTATATCTTGCGTTTGCGCTTGCGATTAATGTACAACGGGCTTTAAGTTTCAATGAATAGATTAGGTTAGGTTAGGTTAGGTTAGGAACGTTTACGCACGTTAAAAGTAACTTGCGGAACGCGAGTCACAGATTTAACGTCAACTTTAACGGCCGTACTAAAATGCTATATTTCATGTCACATGTATTATAGGTTTGATTACCAAGGTACATAGAATTTTGAAACGTTAACCCAGCTAAACTCGTGTTAAATTGAAAGTTGTGGAACCGAGCCTTAAATATACAAAAATGAGACAAAAATACAAGAAACACTTAAGTCTTAAGTTTTCTTTTGCAGTAGAGTTTCTTTAAGGAGAGAGAGAGAGAAAGAAAGAGAGAGAGAGAAAGGCTAGATTAGAAGGTTAGGAACATAACAACATTTAAATAATTACAGAATCATAAAATTGTGTATTTTTTATTAAAGTTTTTTGATCTGCATTTTTATATTAATTTTCTTTGAGCATTTTTTATCGGTTTTTTAAAAATATTTTTTGACTCTGTGTTTTAATTTATTTAACATCAACTTTATTTAGATGAAACTGCTGAATTATACTTTATAGTTTTGCTGCTATTAACTATTTAACAAATGTTTTAACTTTTTTTCATAAAATTGATTTTATTATATATTTGGCCATTTTTTAAATGTATTTTTATATTATTATGTTAGTAAATTTTCTTTTCTTATATTTATAGTCAATTATTAATAAAGACCCAAATAAAAAGATCAAAATGTTTGATATTACATCAATAAACTGATAATCATATATAAATAACCTATGCCTATGCATTAGTCTTGTTACCTTTATTTACTATTATAATCTGTATAATTTCTAATTGTGTATATTAATATATAAACCTGCCTACAAAAGATTTGTTATGTGTGTTTTAATAAAACAGTGACAGTGAGACAGTGTATTACAAACATATAGTATGGTACATATACTAATGTAGTATAAATATACTATAAAAATATACTATAAAAACTTATTAGTATATATATCTCAAAATGGGACATTTTCATAAACAAACCAACAGCAAATCTCCAAGTATGCACAGATTGTCTCGAAAGAAAGCATATGTGAAAAGGTACATAACTTTAACATTATTTATGATGTTGATACATCACAAAGATGTATCAAGTTTCTTTACTACACTCGGTATTTTATTTAAAATGTTTTTCAGTATTGTGTCGTAACACATTATTGCTTATGCTTACAGCTTTATTCTGATGTGCAAACTTGTCAAATGTTTTTTCAATATTATATGTTGGTAAACGAATGTAGATAAATACACATAATTAAGACAAAAAACAATAACTATTTTTCTTACCCTTAAACCTTCTGTGAATTTTTGATAATAAATGATACAAATTCTTCATATATACAATCTTGTGAAGCATTTTATATCATATGTAAAATATTTTAAATATATGCATTTATATTTATTAATATATGTATGTATATATACATAAATATAAGTGCATATATTTAAAATATTTTACATCACACACATGTTCCCTATATTTTTCTATTTTCCTCTACCATTTTATACTTTCTTTTGCAGACGGCAAGAATTAAAAGCACTAAAGAAACAAATAGAACAAATGCAAGAAGAAAATGTTGAGGAAGAAGACAACATACAGATAATAGCTGTTACTAGTGACAACAAGAAATCGAACTCACAATTATGTAATGAGACAAAAACGAAATATTTGGAAGAAGACAAACAAGAAAAAGGTATTATATAATATATATTATTGAGATAAGAACTTTGTTGTCAATCTTATAAATGCAACTAATAATAACCGGAATGTTAAATATAAAATAATAGTATCTTAGAAATGTTATATAAAAAATAATGTTATATAAAATAATGTTTTAATATTGTTATTTATAATAACATATAATAACATATAATATTGTTATGTATACAGTTATTAATATTATTTTTAACTGTAATTTTGAATCTTTAAATGTTTGAAATTTTTTTATCTAACCTTTCAAATCTATTTCCAAAACTCGTTAAAAATAAAATTATGTAAAACGGTGTTTTAAGTAAATAACAGACATATTATTAGATATTTGGAAGAAGATGCCAAAAATTTTGCAAAATTAAAGGTTCAAAGTATTCTTTCAGTTTTTATTCTTTTTTATTCTTTCAGTTTTTTTATTCTTGCAGAAAGATTTTATTATATTATATAATTTACTAATTTTAGATGAAGAAGAAAACTTAATATATTGCAGATAACATGTAGAAATTGTATGTAAAATTGTGTTTTATTTATTTTGATAAAACTGAGCTTATTTGCTGGAATATAAAATTTCTTAGCTTCTCTTTTTGTTCATCCCTTGCATGAAAGAATTGATGTTTACACTGAAAGGATTTTATTTTCGTCATATCTCTTATTCTTATATAAAAAAATTAACACTTTTTAAAACATCTTCAATTTTGTTTATAGTAAGAAAGTCTTTGTGGAACAGTTTCAAATTCACATATAGGAAAGGTACACTTTAGCACAGTGATTGCAAAATAAGCTCTGTTTCTACTAAGGTTAAATGTAATGTACAATGCGAAAAAAAATAAAATTAACATATAAATGTATATAAATATAGGCTGTATATATCATGCAGCCATGACACTTCCTATATTTATATGTTATAGTTTATTTTTTGTCATTATATAGTACATTTAACTTCTATTTCTAATTCTTATTCCTAATACTTTCTCTATTGTACTCAGGTCCTTAAAAGTGAATATACTAAATTATACACTGCATTATTTTTCTTTTTATTTCTTTTGTTGTTTTATACATTTTTTAAATATAAAGAATAAAAAAAAGAAAATGTACATAATGTGTAAGTATAGTTTAAAAAATCGAATGACTAGACGCCATATCGATAGTCATACCTTTATAGAGGCGCTGGCAACGAAGACTGCGTTCCAATATTCACTACTATTACTGAAGTCTATGAGTACGTGTGACGTAAACTATAGATTTCTAATATTGTGCAGTGAGTATCGGAACACAGTCGAAAAATATATGGGAAGTTTGTTGGCACCGCCGCACCGCGTGCGAGCTTTACGCGCTGTAAAAAACGTGAGGCGTCGAGATTGTCTATACATATGTATGTGTCGTTAGGTTATCGTGGATTTATCAGTTTTGTGCTCCGAATCGGTATCTGTCAACGCATCAAAAGACTATAATTTACATTTGCAATTAGTTACAACCGACAGGTAAGGTCAGTCGCGATACTTGAAAGCTAGTAATTGCGTGAACTTATCACCGTTTGATACCGAACGTTCATATGTGTGTTACGAGCATTCTTCGGAGCAGATACCGATATTAGCAATTCAAAGAGAACGAAAATATTTAACGTATATTGCAAAACTTTTTTAACAATAACATAACATTAATATTGTGAGAGTTATTTATGTTGTGAAAACATTTATTTTATTTGTCTATTCTTATATTTTTATTTTCTTATAAATCTATAAAAAGTTGTTAGTAAAATATGCATTAAGCTTTAATTTTTATTTTATTTTAAAAATATGTTTAATATAACGCAAATTGAGTAAATATTAAATTGGCTTTGCTTAAGTAAATATTAAACTATTTTTAATTTTTAGCATCTGTGAGCACAATGCCAAAAGCACAATTACCCAGACATTCTGTCTCAAATATTCCTCCAGTTCATGTAACATTACAATTGGAATGTAAAGAAGAACCTTTGAGCGAATCTCAATTAAAATCTATAGTGAAACACAAAGAAAATGTAAATAGGGTAAGTTATATATATTTTATGATAATATAAATATCAAACACTGATTCTTTTTTCTTTAGGTTACAGCTATTTTGGAAGATTTAGTTAAAGTTCATGGAGGTAAATTGATATGTCAATCAGGTGCAGTCAGTGGTTTTCAATATACATTGTAAGTATATAATTACAAGATATTTATATGTATATACCGACAATTGGTCATAACATCTCTTGTACGCGCGTAAGACAGCCTGATGCATGCTTATTTGCGGATCTTTGTTAATTAAGATCTCGGTAACTACTGTAAATCTCGCAAAATGGTGTAGGACTTTTCAACTCAGTTTTACTCCTACCTGTCTACGAGAGATGTTACACTAATTGTTGGACACCCTGTATATATACATATGATATAAAGATAACGTATATCTAATATACTTTTTTATTAAATATAATTTATTACTATTTATAGGCCTACAACAATAGCACCAACAGTAAGTCAAGCAACAGTAACACCGGTAGTTCAAAATAACTCTCAAATTTTAAGTGTTGTAAGCATTCTTTTCATCACTATGATAATTTAACACGTTGAATGCCGTGGGGATCATCGGTGATGCCATATGTATTACATAACAAACAATTTTTTCCGGCGCCTTGGGCAAGTCATAAAATTAGTCCGGCATTCAACGTGTTAATTAATGTTTTGAAAGTAAGTACAGACAATCATATACATATAGGTTTTCTGTTTAGACACAACAGACTAAGAATCCGCCACCAATAAAAGTAAATATTAGTAATACAAGTAGTGGACCTCAAGGAAATATTCAATTAGTTGTCGATCCACGTAGTATGGGCGTTTTTTTGGGTTCTGTTACACAAGCTCAAGGTAGAAAGGTGTTTGCTATTTAATTAAAGTTTTCAGATTTGTTATAAAACTTAATTGAAACAAATACATATAAATTTCAGGCACAGCTACCACAACTACAACTGTAGCTTCTACCACTCCACAATCTCAACAAGAAAATGTATTATCAATTGTATTTTTTTTATATTGCACATCTACATACTTTTTATCTTAAGTACTAATTATATACTAATTCTCTCCAGTACAAACCTAGACTCGGACGTAGAACAAAAGTTTTTCCAGTGCAACAGTCTGATATTATCGAAGAGGTATGATTTGTATAATTGCATTTCTTAAATTTCTATGCTATAACCAATAAGTATGCCTAGAATATATTGTCTTTGTAGCCTCTACCCAAAGTTACTCAAGTAAAAGCAAAGCCTGGAACAGCAACGCAAGTTGTTAAGGGTAATCATTTTTAAAATTAACGTATTCCACAAAACAGCTAAGAAAAAGACTCCTATAACTAACAAAAAAGATTACTGGTCCTTCAGCTACTACCAACCCACAAGGTGTGACAAACTCCACAGCAAATAGCAGTATACAACAGACGGCAAATCAATCAGTTAGGCCTGCAGAACATACTAGTATAGGAGGGATAGCGGTTGGCAGCAAAGACGCTTTTTTAGGTTATTTATAACATTTATCTATTTTACGTTATCTTATTTATTTAACGTCATTTATTTTTAGGAATATTTTGATATATTTGATAATTATATATATATATTTTTTATAAAACATTATAGCTGCTGAACATATAGACGAAGCAAAAAAGAATTTACCTGATGGTAGAGAATTTACATTTAATAAGACAACTGGCGGCCGAACGTTTCCATCTCTAGTAGTGATAGCAAGACCAAATTTACATAATAAAGATATCACGTCAGTAGTTGGACAAAAAGAAAGACAAGCATTAGGTAAAACACTTTTAGCATTACTAATGTACATATTATATTACAATCAGTAATATATATTAATATGTATATATCAGTAATATATATTAATATATATAATACATATATGATTATCGAAATGTTTTAGATGCTAAAGTTAAAAACGTGCTCATGTTTTCTGCTACAAACTTTGCTGAATGGTTGATCCAACAAGGCTTGTTAAGATCGGAACAATATTGTACAGAACATCACACAGATGGTCAAAAAAGTAAACTCAAGTTGGGAATGTATAGCGATCAAGGAACATTTCCTTATTCTGGTGGCTATGTGTGGATATGTAGTAACTGTCCCGATAAATTCGTTTCTGTTTTTTCGGGTTCGATCTTCCAAGGAGCTCCTTACACACCTACGATTTTGCTAAAACTGATTTATCATTGGGCTTGTCAGACTAATGTACAAAATGTCATTTCTTGGGTGAAAGTATCTAATGTATATCTGAAAAACTTTTATACGAATCTACGTAGCATTTGTACAGCAGCGATATGGAATAAAGCTCGTAAAATGGGCGGTAACAATGCAGTGATACAAGTTGGTGTAATTAGTTTAGGCACTACATCACAAGATGGACATTTACGACAGGTAAAATATTTTGAAAATCTCAGTTTGATAAGGAAGAGATTATGCTTGTAATGATAAATTTTATTCTTGTTTTTACAGGTAAAAGTCGAGGTTCTTGGTGTTTTAGACCCTACTACTCTTGAGATACGATTGCGCGCTTGCGAACCGATGCAAGAAGGGAACAGACGATCCTTCAAAAGACGCTTTAATAGTATTCTGTATCCATTGAAAGACTGGGTCCATACAGATTCCAGAATAATGACTGACTTTACTGTCGATAAAAGCACCTTGAATGACATGGGATACAGTCACGTTATGCAGTCCGGTTATCCGGAGCAAAACTCGAAAAATCTTATGAGCAATTATCATGTTATGGAATATCTTAGGAAAATTGTACCAAGAATGTTTCAGAACACATTGAGTTTACTTAGCAGACCAATGATACAACAGTTTTTAGATGAATTAATATGGAGAGAAATGTACGGTGCTACGTCTGAGCGTGCATTTGATAATATTATCCGGCATATCGCGGAACAAACTAAAACTAACTCTAGTGAGTAAACAAATAAACAGATCACAAATAGGAACTTAACAAATCACGAATTAATCTATAATCGATTCTCTATCGTCAAATAAGGAGTTTGCATATTTTTTCAGCTGACAGTTTGTTAGATCGTCTAGCAAAGATAGCTGCTAATCCATTTCAAGACTGGTCTTACTCAAAGACTGAAGATCAAGAGACTGATGATGTGCCGGTTGTATTATTAAAGGATACATCACTAACTGATACAACATCTTCTCAAAATAAAATTCCAGAAACGATTAAACCTGGACCGAAACGAGGAAGAAAAAGAACTAATCCCGCGGTAGTAGTGGTTCCAGAACACGAAATAAAAAAAATCGCAATCGATTTCAAAAATAACGAAAAAGAGAAAGAGAGTAATAACGAGAAACAACCGAAGGAACAAATTCAACTGCAAGAATTTTATTACGCTACAATGGAAGGTGATAAAAACTTAATTTCAGAGGAATGCAAATCCTTTATACACTTCAAGGTTGGTTCAAAAATGTAATATTGCTATGTCGACATGTTTCACAATACTTAAAATAACACTAAGTATTTTTGATTTAGTGTTTCTTGTGCACAACAATAATGAAGTCCAATATTGAAGTGATGGAGCACATGATTAGTCATGTACCTCCGCAAGTGCCTGGTCAGTCGGAATTGTTCGTATGTCGATATTGTTGTACCGCACTTTCGTCGCAACATCAAATACTGACTCATGTGTCTGAGGTACATAGCAATTTTGGTCATTCTGACGGTCTTATGGTGGTTTGCGCCATTTGTGAAGAGAAATTTGGTAAGTTATACTGATTATTTGATTACACTGACTTGTAAAAAATAGATATATAATCAAGAAGATATAGTACAATTTATACGGGATGTTCTTCAGGAAAAAACAAGTCATTGATCGATCATTTGTCATCGATGCATTATCCTTCTGAAATGCCATATCAATGTGAAAGTTGTAACTATCGTACGTCCAGTCATAAAGATGTCATAGATCATTATTATAAGATTCACGAAAAAGGTGAGGGATTGCAATGTCCTTATTGTCTTAAGGTAAGAATTAAAGAACAGTGTTGCGAATGTTTTCTCATTTCAATGTGTATTAATTAAATGCAAATATTGTTGTTTCGAAAAGGTAATACATTTTATGAATAAGGGCAATCCTAACGCGTCTAGTGTTTACACTTATTTGTCGCACATGCAAAGGCACATTGTGAGAAGAGATCAAGGAAAAGGCAACAAGTGTACGAGATGTTGTTTGTGGTTTAACCAAAAAAGCTTGCTCGTAAAGCATCAACGAGTGTTACACGATCCTATTTCTGACTCAAGTAAATATATATATTTAATAGAAGAACACAATTTTTGCGGTTGTCATATGTAAAATCGCAAACTCTAAAACAAGCCATTAAGAATCAACGTGATTGCTGATGTGCGCGTTTTTATATATTTTTATTACTACATAAAATTACTGAAAAAAAAAGATTAATTTATAATTACTATTTATCAAGAAATACAAATTCGAACATTGACTTTTAATTTGATATTCTCTTTTTTTCTTATTGTGCTACTTCATAAAAGAATATTCTTATTTCAGTCGATATAGTTATTATTTAAAAAAAAATTTTTTTTTTATTTGCCGAAGTGGAGACTACGCGCGTTTTGTTTGTCCCATCGAACACTATTTTTGTGCAAAATTTCAGATTGATTGGGAGCAGGGGTCATTCGGAAGTATATCCTTCTTATTGGCCGTAGAGTTTGTGATGTATATTATTTATCATTTTATGCTAACACATTTGTAACAAAAAAGTAGAAACTTGTGTGTTTCTTTTATATATTAGACATATCTACTCTATGTTTATTTACATTTCTAAGTAGGCGTAGTTATTTACATGTGTGAATATATATTTCTGTCATATTTAATCAATAACTTTTACAGAAGCAATACCATATTCCGGTGGTAATATTGAAGTTACGGTCTTGAAAGATCGACCGAACATACGATTTTCTGTAGATAGTCCACCTCCCGAGTTACCATTTAATGAAAAAATACAAAGATGGAGTACTGGACCGATCTCAATAAACACTTCTGTTAGACACTTACCTTGTCAAGAATGCGAAGAAGATATTGACGAAGAGGATCATTATCCGTAAGCATATCGTTTTAAAATCAACATTCTCGAGCGAATATATAACATAAATTAACTATTTAACACATAAACAGAGGTGAACAGCAATGTCAACAGTGTCGTTACATCACGTGTTGTTGGCGTGCATTCCGTGAGCATCAACAACAAATTCACAATGAGAGACCAAAAACCAGTCTCATCGTGCCGTCTCCTCTAATTAACATTCCGCTAGAAAGAAAAATGCAATGCCAGTGCGGCTATGAAACGAATGATGGCAATCAATTAGGTACAAATAGATTACGACGCATTCCATATTGTTAGCGAAAACTCTTCGTGACTTAAGACTTAAATAATTGTTGTGTAATTTTTGCAGCAAGTCACATGGTAAGACATGACAATGTAACTGTGGCGTATTCCGTTGAAAAATCGACAACATCCGGTATGCTCAACAGTTTAGGACTGTTCCCAAAATCAACTTCTGAGGTACGACATGCTTTCGTATCTATGTAATAAAATTTACTGACCTATATATATGTATATATACATATGTATAGCTTTTGATATTTTAAACTGATTCGTAGGAAGCTGATGCACACAAGAAATCCAATTCGCATAATTGAGTGTAACATGAAAATGACGAATGTCATTTTGTTATTGATATAAATAAAAAATATATATGTATGTATGTGTGTATGTGTGTACGTATATATACATACATAGATAAATAAATAGATAAGATATACACAGTATCTTCTCTTAAACTCGGAGATTTTGGGATCAAAACGTCAAAAAATGAATAATAGTGAATCCTTTTTTGTTACGTCTAAGCTATAAAATATCTCGGTTGCTCAAAACAAAATGATATAGCAAAAAAACAAGAAAAAGAATTCGGAGTGAACGTGAGAGCAATCCTGACTGAAATTTATAAGAGGCAGCTATAAGAGTGAGCGAGCAGATCGATTTTTTTATAATACTGTGCATTATCAAGAAAACAAAGAGGTCATAAAGTTAGCTAACTTTTATTTTTTTTTTTTTTTTGTAGTGACGGAGATAGAAACAAACGAGATATAAAAGTGGAAACCTCCGAGTTTAAGAGGAGCTAATGTACATACAATAGAAACAGGTAAAATTAAAGGAAAAAATATTACGTATGTAAAATATAANTTTTTGACACACAGAAATACATAAAGTTATAAATTATTTTTAGTGTACAAACTTACCATCTGATATATTTCATTTATATATATTTAATAGACTGACAAGATTAAAATAAAATTTCAAACTATTATGAATTTTGATGTAAAACTTGAAAAGAAAAATTCGATTTTATCCTACTTAATCCTCATTTTATTGTTTGATGATTGCATGTTGTAAACTATTATGGCTGGTTTACAACGAAGATAGTAAGGCTGTAGGAGTAGAGAGTAAACTATTTTTCGGTGAAGAAACAACGGGAATTACGAAATAGGCAATTTCCATTTCGCACTGCCTACTGCCTTACTGTTAGCCAATGAAAGACGTGTGTTGAAAAACGCGAAATAATTATTTGTATAGACAAAAATAAAAGAACTCCAAGAACCTTACTTCTTACTCTATACTGCCTACTCCTATTGTAGACTAGACATTATATGCTGGTTTTTATTGAGATATGTCATACTTCACTTTTTGTTAATGAAAAGTGAACAACTCATACTAAATACAAATTTTAATTGTGCTGTAATATATATGTAATGAAATATTTAGACTTTTTACAAATTTATGTGATACTTGAATTCTCGTCTCTCTAATAATAAAATTGTATATGTAATAAATCTCATTAATACTTTTTTTTAAATATCAATAGTCTTTGTTAAACACTTACTGTTAAATACAAAAATGCATCAAATATCTATTCAAATTGGAACATTTGATCAAATTATTTAGATTAAAAATGTTTTTGGTAATCAGGAAATAACAATATAAAAGGTTTTATTAAATGTTTATTTAGCAATATTATGTCTTCATGAATAAGAAATGTAGCATACATATTTACTTTTTTATGTGTGTGCAGTGTGTGTCAGAGGTACGAATATATAATTCTAACTGACGGGATAAAACTTATGGAATTCTTCATCGATTGAAAAACTTGAGACGAGTTGATAATTTGCGTAAAGTTAACATACAATAGTCCGTCATTCTGTACTTATCTCTATACTCCTAATAAGCTATATATATTTTTCAACACTTTTTTTTGGATTTTTCTCATAATTTTTCACTTTTTTTTTGTATTTTTATATATTTTTTATGTTGTCTGTTATCAAGTCAACACTAAAGAACGCATTTATTAGCAAGATCTCTTCAATGTTAACTGATTGGGAATTACCAGATATATATTATCATATATCTAAGAATAAGATCTTACCTGTAACAGAGTTAATAAGATAATAAGACTTATATAACGCGATAAATAAAATTTATAATCCTGTAAACCTTTCAATCTTGAGTAGCTCTCAAAAAAAATTACACGTGCGAAGTGTGTGTTAGTTTTTTGCTCTAATCATCGAAACTCTAATCGTGATGTTTCTCTATATAAAAATTAAGTTGTTTTATCCACATAAAATTTAGTACAGTAGCAAACACTGAACTAAATCAGAAAATTCAAGTATTTATCTGGAAATACAACACTCTCTATAAGCCAACAACGTGTAAACAAAATTTGGTTTGCTCTTTACTTAATATTTTTTCAGTTTTATCAAACAAAAAATTATTGTATTAAACTATTCGTGAATATAAAGATAATATTTAAAAACAAGTATATCAGTTCTTTTTAGAGAATGTTGTGTAATTTTTGAGACAAATGTAATTCTTTCGACACACTCTCGCACAACGGATATTAAATCTAGACTATATAGTCGTAATACTTACAAATAATAAGACAATGTACTTATATTTACGAAGTATAATATGGTGATGCCCAATCTGCCACAATTAACATTGAGATATATCGATAATAAATTACTCTAAAATTTGACGTAGTCGCGTGCGATGGTCAATACACGACTTTAAATTCCGTCAAATTCACGTGGGAAGCTTTGTCAGCAGCTTATATGATCTTAAAAGAGTTATTAACATTGTTTTTCAAGAGAATGAATCGATATACTCATTGAAAGCCTTTTATACGCGTTCTACATATTCGCGACTATGGTTTTTCTTTCTGTCACTCCTCTTAAATTTAACGCCAAGGTGTCTTCTATAGTCGTCTGATTTGGTTTTTGAATATCGTTAAACTTATAACACTTGACTTTTTTTTTGTCAAAATAGACGACTTTTCAATTTCTCGATTGGTAACAAAAGGTAGGTGTAGGGCAAAACTTATACAAAATATATAAAAGAAAAGAAATAGAACGGAAAAGACACCAGACACAGGTTGTTTCTCGAATTCTTTGATCCTTTTTGCTAAATTCCTGAGAATTTAGCTTAAAGACAATATTCTAGGGTGGTACCTGCAATTAAATATAATAAAATTAAAATAAGAAAATCATCACAGACACAACACAAACTTGGGGAAAAATTAGCAAAATAGAAACCGATTACAAAAAGAAAATAGTAATAAAGTAGTTAGTCAAATAATCAAGTAATGTAATAAAAGAAGAAATTAGCAGCTTGCTTCGTGCTCCTTGCTTCGTGTCAATACCTGTGCGTTAAATTTGAGAGAATCCGAGCTGCTTGTCGATTACTCGATGGCATAGAGCATGTAGAGATTGCCAGCGTCACTGCCTGGCGGTACCAAGGCATGAGTTGGCGGCAGGACCGTGAAACCCAAGAACATGAAGGTACGAACCAGCATTGCTAGACCATAACAACAGAACGATTTAGACGGTGAGTCTTTTGCGTCAACGCAAAAACCTTCGACATTTGTACCGAAAAACGGCAAGCGACAAGTACCTCGGTCTGATCTATCTTTGCGGAGACAGACAATGATATTAGTGCAGCGCAGTGTCTCTTCGGCGTACTCTAGAAGAGAGACAAAGCCCTCCTTTGATCCTTCGGGCAGAAGGCAGCTTGGTACACGTATGTATAGACAACGGCGCCATGCTACGGTCTCCCACTCGACCGATGTACTCTCGGTCAAGTGAAGAGTGAACGTTAGACGCAATGGTTCGTTACTTCTCACGGCTTTCAATAATTCATCCTCCTGTGTATCGCACCAACAAATTAGAAAATATTTATTTTTATATCAAGAATACAAATTTTACTTTTGTACACTCGCAATCGTTATTATTGTTTCTAAAGGAGGAGAAGATTGTTTTCTTTTTTTTTTTTTTTTTTTTTTTTTTTTTTTGTAAACTTTATACGAGCGATGAAAAATACGTACTTGCACAATGTGGGAGCTCACAGAGAGCTGACTCTGCTTGATCCCCACGCCGCGGCTCTCTGTGTTGACTGTGGATACAGACAATGCGGCATGGGGCACATCAGGACCACCACAGAGGCCCCACACCCAGCGTTATACAGTAGTGCTGCTGCAACCTAGAGCTTTCCTCTAGGCTCTCGTCCATGCATTTACTAGACATTTCACTGAAATGCGCAGTTCGTTCATTAGAATCCTTAAACTTTTATCATCAATACAAAAAATGTGTACATAAAAATTCAATTTACTTTTAATAAATATAAACAAATTTAACAAATGTAAAAAATTCATTTTTTACTTTTGATATAAATTTGTTGTATCTATATAGAATCACATGAACTTCTTATGAAAGATGTGTAAGAATGCAAGGGATACGTGCGTGCGAGATTGAGGATTGGGACAAGGAGATGATAATATTGATACACAAATGTTTATTCTGTTAATGAATTTGTGTGTAAATATATTTGATCAGCATCGCAAGGTAGGATACTGTTTAAAGAGATGATGTATTTGGAGCGTAAACAGTAAGTACTGCCAAGAATCTTGAAACTCTCCTGATGGAGCGATTATGTAAGTGTGTTCAGGATGTATTTATCTTCTCTCCAGAGAGACTGAGAATAATATAGATTTATTTTGCGAGAGAGATATATGTAGAAGATATAAAACGCCGCGATATTTCGTCTCGCGCGAAACTTCTCAATCAACACACGAGTGACACGGCCGCAATAAAAAAAAAAAAATCGTCAGAGTAACGATGCGTGCAAGTATCGATTGATATCCACTCGCTGCATTACGGTATCTCGAGAATGTTCAAACAAAGAAACGTGAGATTGGTCATTCTACCTTGGCCTTATCGTGAACGACGAAGCTTTCTTGTTTATCGCGTTGACGCGACGTCCGACACCGCCGCGGTCAAGACAATTCCGGGAAAAAAAAAAAAAAAAACTAGAGCGGAATAGAGGAAAACGGCTGAGAGGAAAATGAGCGACTGCCGTACCGCATAGCCCAGATACGCGATTTATAAAATAACACCGAGTTGTGTTTCCGCGGGCACATTGTCGGTCGCGTATCGAGAGACGTCATTAAAACGGGCTACGTGCCAAACAAATAACAGTGTTTTCACGTGTTTACGGACAGAAATGCAAACCGATTGGTTTGCTCGTTTACATCCCCGTGGCCTTTTGGCCACTTTACACGCTAGATGTAAGAATTTTCGGCTGTGTGCCGAATATGTGTGGATATTTTGCAACTAAGCGTTCCCGGTTGAGCGTCATTGCGCGATAATTTATAAATAATTTGTTGCTCTTTTTGTTGCTCCGTGACACGCGACAGTAACAAATTATCAACTTCGAACGTAATAATCACACATTATGAAATAGATTTTTAAATTAGAATTATAACCACCGACATCAAATATAAAACTTTGCATATATTACTTTCATCGAAAAACATTAGATTTTATGTTAAAAAACATTTCTTGCCTCTAGAGAACAACTAAAATAAATCTCACCGTCTCTTTATTTCGCAACGACCTTGCGCGTTCTTGAGCTCGGTCACACAGCGCTTTATCGTACGTTCTGGAAGCTTCGCGGAGTCGATTGGTAAATTTAATTACGGGCTTCTTTGAGTGTTTGCCGTATCAACCAATTGTATTCTTCCACGGAGCTAAGTGTTTCTGACGTGATAATGTTATTGTTAGCGACCAACTTAGCGCGGCGATTCGTAAGATTATTTATACTAAGCGAAAAGGAAGTTTAACGCTCGTATAACGCATTAGCACAGTATTTTCAATTATTTGGCAAAAAGAATTTTGTTCAAAAATCGAATCATCCAAGTTAACGTCAAAAAAAAAAAGAAAAGAAAAGAAAAAAGAAAAAAAACGAACAGAAATTTTCAGTCTTTATTCGTTGTTGCGCGAACAAAAGATCTTTAGCTATCGTTCAATAAGGTGGATCATTAAATTTAATTAACGGGAATTACGCAAGAAACATGCGCTTTTATCGCGTATAAAATGATAATACAGCCAGGAATAGATCGCGGTATTTCCAACATTACGATAACGCAAAAATGTATTTATTGAGTTTTTTTGAGAAAGTTATTATTGCATTTAGTGAAAGTTACAACGTAGAGGTTACATGTGGTGGTACAACACATATATGTAACAAGATAACATTCTCGTCCGCGGGAAAGTAATTTGAACCAATCACGAGGCAGAACTTCAACTCATTGTTTTGCATTGTTCACCGCAATACGATATGACGAGGATGACAATTTTTGTAATGAAGATCACGCGCGCACATATGCGCTTATTATTGATTTCAAGAAACGCGGCCAAAGAAGCGACTCGTCACGCGTTTCTCTTATTATTTGTCCAATTGGTGTGGCTTTTTTCTTGCTCTGAACTTCGAACTTAACAATAAGTTAACAATTACATTTGATCTCTCTCTTTCTCTCGGTTTGACGTTCTTCTTCTTCTCAAGAGAGATAACGTGACGTCGAAGAACACATTGTTTTATCGCGAAATAAAACGGCATTGCCGCCTTTATATCGATTGGCATGAGACACGAGGCAACTTGACGTTGTAAAAGAAAACGCAAAGCCAATGTCGCGATTCTAAACAACGCACCGTTTTGAATCTCATGCAAAATTAACAAGATGATATACAAAACGACGTAAATCAATCCAGCATTATTATTATTATTACTCGTGTTGTTAATAAATATAAACGTTGCAAGACGTGTAACACAAATTTTCTACCGTGTTCTTTTTGAGTAATCTTAAAAGAGAACAAACTTTTACGAAATAATTATATAATATTTTTATTAAAATCTCTTTTCAAATTGTCGTGATATCTTTAATTCCGCCGTCGTAGACGCAGAAATTATTAATCGCGTTTTCGGTTTAATATACTCATTCTTATCAAATATTTGCTCTGATTACAAGTAACAAGGAAAATTTTAGATCCTACGTACAAGGCGCAATCGCGCGCACATTTGTTTTTCCACTTTATTTGGAGATTCGAATAGTTTGTCGAAGAAATTCTTGCGTCACACAGTCGGTTATTGCCAATTATTATGACAGTGTATATACATAATGTAGCTCATATTAGTGAAAACACATACATACGTAGCCAATGTATACATAACACGGTGACATAAAAAGAACAAAATTTAGTTTTATAAAATAAGCGCGAGTTAAAAACCCCATCAGTACCAACAAAAAATAAAAATCACATATAAATATGATACATAAATATAAATAATTAAATACTTTATACTAAAAATCAATTTTTTGCTCTGTAAACAGTCTGATAAGATAGCTGATAACATAGTGCACGGTAAGGTGTTTTATTGCATATTTTTGCAGTGTAAACATATCTCTCAATTGTGTGAGTGACTTGCATTTTGTCAGATATCAGAGATAACCAATTCTGTTCCGAACAAAGCAAGATTTCGCGGACAATTTAAACAGTAAATTCTCGTTTTCATTACAAATACTAAATATAAAATTAATTTATCATATTATTTACACATTAGATATTTCAGCAATTATCATAAACTACTAATTACATCGCATATTTGATTACTACAAATTAACGTCTTTTTAATTATATAATTGGAAATACACACACACACACACACAAATATTCCGACGAGAGATACTAAAAACATCTATCTATAGAAATAGTAAGTAAAGGCGGTCATTGTGCGTTGGAATCTTACGGTACTATCGGCACAACTATCTAACGGAACAGCTGATAAAGCAACGTTAGTGTACTGTAAATGCAGAACAAAATTTTTGGCAAAGTCTGTCACGTGGCTGTGTTGGAGATTGACTCCGATCGTGTATTTACGTATCATTTCGCGTATCGTTTCTCGAAGAATCTTAATCGTACGTCGCGATTATCACGACAAACAGCGACGGGATCTAATGACAAAATCTCGTGTTGCCCCATTTAACTGTGTCCCTTCCCGACGATAACGAACTGTGATGTGTGTGTGTCCAACTTGAGCTGTGTCGTATTACATTCGTTAAATACGAGATGTAAAACATGATAGTCGACTTGGACAGGATGTGCGTAACTATACAGAGATAACAAGAATTGGTTGGGAGAGATACAAGAAATGCAAAAAAAAAAATAAAAAAAAAAAAATAATAATAATACGGATTACACAGGACGCGATAGGCAAGATGGCGATTTACGGTGCAGGCGAGAACAAAAATGGCGCATACAAGTTACGTGTTGTAACTCGCGCTTACTCACCAATTACTGGAAATTAAACTCGGCATTATCGGCTTTTTACTACTTTCACTATTACTTAACGATAGACTGGAGTTAATATTCATACTTCTTTCTTCGTAAAATTTTGGCGGCTTTAAATTTACAGCTCCACCACGAAATGTTCGCTGGAACAGCGATCGACAACGATGGGAAGTGATTGTGGCGACTTTCGCCTGTATCAAAAGGGCGGAAAATCAGAAACGACCACTACAACGTTTGAAGTAATACTGCTGGAAGCTGGAAGCCGCGTTCGACAAGTTCCGTACGTACCCACGGCGCATACACCGTGTGCCACGTGACGTCGAGAACCAGGTCGCCCGCGAATCAAACGCACGATGAACTCCCACTTTGTGCGCACATGCGCTCCGGACTTTCGAACGACCACTAAAAATCATCAAGCGCAATGCGTAGATTTCAAACATTTTTTTTTTTTTTTTTAAATTATCCGTCAAACTTGCATCTGAAAAAATTGACATTTTATTTTATCACACATCTCGTAGAAAATCTCTGAACGCATTTTCAAAGCTTTAAAAAGTTCACGAGTTTAAATTCGATAATTGTCAAAAAAAACCCACATGTTCTACTTACAAGAGACACAACAAAATTCTCCGTATTAAAACTTAATTTTTTTTTATTTTATTGCAATGTACATCCTTTCTTGCGCATTTCAAAGATATAATACGCTTATGCTTAAATAAATAAAATGAACAGATGTATTCTTGTAGCAGGTTTTCCAGACCAAGTGACAGTGTGAAAGTGGAAGATTCTCGAACATATTCCAAAAATCTCTCACGCAGAAGATATATATTATACATGTATATATATGTTTAATCTCGATAAAGGAAGAGAAGTACAAGGCCATTAAGCGTGTCGGCATATAAATCAAAGTGGCGGGTCCTCGATTTTAAAGCTCGAGCATAAATCTTCTGTTCTTTTAAATCTAACTTTATAAAAATTTGGAATGTCCATACGGGGAATTCAGATATCTCGCTACAGGATCGCACAACAGGTGTGATTACTATCGATATCACTAAATGCTTGTAAATCGGAGTATACGTCAAGGCACAATGCGCTAGATTGTTTCTTCAACCCCCTACCACACATTTATGTATATACGTTTAATTAATTTAGACACTTTTTTTTTATGAGATTAAAATCTTCTTTTACACACAAACCATAACAAAATAATGTTTGCCTTAGAATCTCTTTGAGATAAATCGTTTAGAGATTGTATTGTACACATACTATGATATGATATTTCAAAAGAGATAGTTAAATGCTTTAACAAACTTGACAGACAGTGGCGTAAACTATATATAAATGATAATATATTTTTTTTTTATGCGTTTAAATAACTACTTAACCGCACATCACTTGGCGGACAAAATCTTCATAGTTGATATTACCCTGTGAATCTTCATGACCCGCCAGTAATGTCTCCACTTCTTCATCGCTGAGCTTCTCACCTGGAATGAGATACATGTAATTAACCAAAGAAACACATATATGCATTTTTTTTTTTTTTCAAGAAAGACACTGTAAATACACACCAAGTGTTGTTAGAAGATGTCGCAACTCCGCGGAAGATATGAAACCATTTCCATCTTTGTCAAAATGACGCAGACCCTCAATAAAGTCATCTGCCGTGTCAGATGTGCGGGACTTGCTGATTGCTTGATAGATTGGTAGGAACACTTCAAAACTAATTCGCTCGTCTGGCTTATGTTGGTGAGTAAATTTTTTTACATCCGATTCGGTTGGATTTTGACCAAGAGCGCGCAACGCGTCACCAATCTGGGATACGTGAATTTTTCCATCCCCACGACTGTCGAACAACTGAAATGCTTCCTGAAATTCTACAGCAGTAAATCTGTCGTTTATTTTGTTGTACATGGTGCTCACACATATTTTATTTATTTTTCTATACAAACACAAAGTTGAAAACAAAACTAAGTAAGATACGAATTGTTATTAAAGAAATTTATATACGTGAATATATAATTAAGTAGGAAAAACTTTCTGTTACTTCTAGATCTGTTTTAGCCTGTGCTATAATTAAATCACCTAATTTAGTTACACCGGACACAATAAAACGGCTAATATTCTAATTCCGATCTTTACCCTCCATAGATGACATCATTCTATTAGCCAATTCCTGATAACTGTAGACATACATTGTGCACTTTTGCGGTAATATAAAACTTTGTCACTAGTCACTGCACGTAATATAAAATGTTCTCTGAACGATCAATTTCTAGTTGGGAGTGAAATGCGAATAAATCGGCAAGAGACTTATTTGACGTAGGTAGGAGCGCGATTAAGTCACCCGACGACGAGTGACTGTATATTTTTAAATACCGTGCCATAAAAGGCAATCGTTGATAGGGACACGCGCGTGTGTACCGGGACTGTGTCTAAAAAGGCGAAGATACTCTTGACCTGAATTAAAACCCCGGAGAGAAGAGCGCGGCGTGGACCCACTATCGGGGGTCCCTCTCGCTCACTCGTCTCTCGATCTCGTTGCAGTTATCGCCTTCACTTACCGGCCAGCTGATCCTCGGAGTAGGACGCCTGCGAATTACACACGCAATGACTCGTTTAGACGCATGCTCGTTACGACAGCTGTCGTGTTGCTCGACAATTTTCTCGTGGTTTTACTCACCATTGTTGGATGCTGTTCTGTTGCTTGTCAAGGAACAGCAACTTGAAAAGAAAGTTGACAGATGATATATACGTCACACACGCGGATTTTTATGTGTATATAGCAGTGTACGCAGGCGGTTCCCCAAACGGAATGTGTTTTGTTGCGTAGCGAGCGACGTAGAAGAGAGCGGAGCGGAAGTGAGTCAGTGACTTATCGCAAACTCTTAGCCAAGTCTTTTCTTTTTAGGTCGGATCTTCGCGGATCTCGCCCTGTAAGTGCGTGTCCTGCGCAAACGTCGCGCAACCGAGCGAACGTTTATAGAATCTCTGACATCATTCCGCCGAGTAAAACGTCTTGTAGGTTTCATTCGTTTTTCGCTAGATTTCGCTTTACGTGGGAATTGCGTGAAAAGAAACCCTCGATGTTACAGAAACGGTTCAGTTAGGCGACTACTTTTGATTGGTTCTCTCTTATGTCGAGACCGGAGACATGCGTAGTAAAGAATGCAAAGCCAATCCAGAATAAAGATAGCATGTTCCATGTTTAGCAAACTTCGTTCCGATTGGTTAAACTCCCATTTCTTCAATTCCGATTCGTATTCCGATTAGGTCTGATATGGTCTTAAGATCTGTTCTTTTCTCTGGAGCGTTAGAGATGTGGAGAATTGAGGACGCGTCTTTTCTTCATGAACCAGTCACAATTCTAATGCAGTCCCAATGCGGAAAACAAAAATAGATCTCTACTATTTTTGACCACATTTTCGATCTTCCGTACAAAACAAGGTTTCAATTTTAACACGATGAAGTCAAGTGAGTTGTATTTAGAGAGAATATTTAATAAACTGTGTTAATGTCCGTACAACATGTTTTTTAATATAAACTAGAAATACATTTAAAATATAACATACTTTATCAAGTAATCTCTTTATTGTTATAAAGATTATTCTACAATCATGTCTTCGGATTGACGAAATTTCAATAAATCATATATTTCGTAAGTCCACTTCGGAAATACGCGCTTATACAGATTCATTAAAATTGTATCTTGTGATTTAAGCTGACCGTTGAAAATGCATTTCGCGTGTCCGTGCGTACCTATCAAAAATCGCAAAGATAACAAACGCTCAAAATAACAGCCGTGATAAATTTTTCAAAATTCAGTTTCGTTTAGAACTAAATGATCACTTACCAAGAGGCTCTTTTATATGACCCTTACGTCCATATTTTGTTCTTAACTGGACAGGTTTAAACCACGCAATATCCTCACGATTGAAAAACATGAAGCGCATAACCACAGATCTCTTGTTCACCTTGTAGGGATGACCACTTAAAACGACTCTTTTTAAGACAATTCTATTAGGATTACAAGACAACACGTTTCCCGTCGCAACTAGTTCCTAAAGAAATTTTATCGTTAATAAATAAAATTGACATTCTTCTCTTTAATGCGGAACAACTTTGTTATATACTACTAACAAATATGTTATATACTATAACAAACAAATATCATCTGTAATACGTACCAGCTTGCCAGTTTTACTTTCTATGTAACAAAGAACTGGGCACGGTGAAAAAGTAACTGGCGCGTACATACTAGCGACGACAGTGCTGTTAGGATGAAAGTATCTCTCATACTACAACAGACAAATTCATTATTTATGATAAAACATGTGCGAACCTATGAATGTCTTTCTACTTAAATAAAATAGAACAATTTTCATCTACGTACTTTGTGCTTTATGCCATTTGTATGTTGACTAAATATCGGACATGACGTGAATCGTCTAAATCCGCATTGAAATACCAATCTTTCTTTCGATTTAATTGGCTGCGTGTAGTTGTTCGAATGTTTCAGCACGACATTTAGAAGAGACATTTTCTGTTCATACGGAAGTAAACCAACTACTATCAGCGGATAATTTTCTACAGTAGCTAGCGTTTTAAACGCATGCCTGCTAAACTGAGCAATATGAAGTTTTACATACTCTCCTGGCTGAAAAAAAAAAAAAAAACACAAATAAATAATTGTGTAAGATTGATAATCAAAAGCAGAAAAAGTTTAACACACGTACCATAACTTCTTCATCAACATCTTCATTCTTCTTAGTGATACGCTCATTGCATTCCTTGTAAATACGTTTTCGCCTACGATCGTAATCCGCGAACTCAATTATTCGAGCGTAATCAATAGGAAGATTTTCCTTCGGATCCCACGGACTAGTGCGAAACGATTCGAGACCTCGATATTTTTGGAATCTTATCTTAGCAAGTGTATCCTGAGGTGTGTCCACCTCATCCGGAAATTGCTTATCCATTTTTGCTTCTACGCGAGATAAACAAAAATTTATATCACAAAATAAAAATAACGTAGTAAAGAAACATAAATGTTAAAAAATAGTCTTGTCAACCTCTGAACTTTTCCATCGCTTGTGTTTCTTCGAGCGTATTGATATTTTGGTCGTAGCGTTCTTGATCCGGTGCTTCTGATACCGTAATAGTTTCATATTCTTCGTCATCTTCCATATCTTTATCGCTATCCACTTCAGATTTTGTCTCCGTATCCACATTCATATGATTGTCATCAAATTCATTGTCCGAACACGCACTTAAACTTTCTATAGTAAAACAAAGATATAAAGTCAAATAAAGTCAATTAAATATTCTTCTAATTTACACAAAAAAAAAAAAAAAGAAATAAATAAACATCAGAAGAGAAAAGATATAATAATATACCTCCTTCTTCATCTGGTATCCACGCAGCTTGATATTCAGATGTTCCTTTCGGAACGACTTTTACAATTTTTTTTTTTGCGTTAGCCTCTGCTTCAGCCAATTCTTCTTTTGTCGGCCATGTTTGTTCAGCATCCATTGGATCGGGGATACATTCGCTCTCGAGCGATTCCTATAAAAATTGTTTCAATGGTTTTTTTTGCTCGAATAACACACAAATTTAATATACATATTGAAACATTTAATTACTGAAGACATATACAAACCTGTTTTTCAGGATTTGCCAGTAATACTTCCGTATTACAGTTAATCCACTGTACTTTGTCATTTAATCCAGATGGGCATATCTCAATTTTTGACATTTGAAAGTTTCCGATACCTGGTACATGAACCAAACCATTAACAGATAACGGTGTTGTACCTCGCAAATATCCAGTAACAATAAAAGTTCCAAAATCTGAGGTATCCTAAGTGAATAATTATATATGCTTATTAAGTTAAAGGCTTGCAAGAGTTCTGGCATACACTTTTTTTTCTCTATATACGTATTCTATGTAATATATGTACAATCATTCTAAAAACACATACTTCATTACTTTCAAAGGCAATATCATCAGCCAAAAGATGTGGCCTTATGTCTCTGTAAAATATAGGTTTTTGTTTCTGTGTGCCAGCACGACGTAACACATTCAAGCAATCATTTACAGTGTCTAATTCAAATACTTTTTCTTCGGGAAGCCATTTCAAAAGTGCATGTTGTACAGACTGTTTATACTCTTGACGTTTCTGTATGTAACAAATTGAATAATAATTAAATAATCAATTAATTTTGTGTTCTCGATGAATTCATCTACTTACTTTAATATGAAGTTTTTGAATATTATGCACCGCCACTATAGTACTAGGTAAACCTTGAGCAAGGCAAGTTGTGATTATTTCCTTGCCCCAATCATCCACAATTTCTTTTTCCACAGAATTTGTCTGACTTGTGACAGAAGTTATAAATAGTATTGTGCTAGCAACTTTGGCTGCATCTAATGTTGCAAAAGTATTTCCTATTGGTGGTACAACAATGGAAAACTTTTGATTCAGCTTTGTCACACTAAATAATTAAAAGATTATTAAATAAAAATTATTAACTTTTAATATATCTGTTTTTATAGCTTATCATTTCACAACATACTTTATATGTACAACTCCAGTTAAACTGGTAACAATCTCAGCAGCTTCATTCATACTAGTTACAAGAGACACAATATTCTGTATATCTATGTCTTCTTGCAAAGGTATAATACAGATAAGAAAAGGTGCTGTACCACCAAGATGTCTTTTCTGGTCTAATACTTCTGAACGTTTATTTTTCCTGATCTGTATCAATTGATTTCTACGTGCTTCCTTCTGCAGTTGTTTCTTGTTACGTTTTGATAAAACTTTGACATTTTGTTTACCTGCACAAAAATAGATGTATAAGATTTAGAAAAAAAAATGACAAAAAATGACAAAAATAGAAAAAAGCAATAAAAGTTCTATAGACGAACTGTCACACACAGTATTTAATTTTACGCAGAAATCTTAAAGCTTTACCTTTTAACTCATTATTAATAGCGCCTTTGCTGCGATGTCTTCCGGTTTTATGTCTTTTGTTGAATTGTTTTAAAGCACCTGGACGGTGCACTTCTTGTTTTTTATTCATTATACCAACACACGCGCGAGTAACTTTTCAAAAGAATGATAAACTCGAAAATACAAACACGTGTTCAACGTGTTGAACCATGTCCACGAAAAGCTATCGCAGAAACTCTATGACCGTGGCCGCTCTCTCAGGTCCAAATTCATAGTCGTTTCTCAAATCTTAGATCTCGTCTCCAATCTCAAATTTCAGCTCTTAAGCCTATGTCACACTACGGATTAGGATTGAGATTGAATTGCAATTTGGCCAATCAGAAAAAAGATCAGTAAAATTAAGATTGGTTTCCTTTCTTCTGATTGGTCACATTTCAATCCAATCTCAATCCCAATCCGTAGTGTGACATAGGCTTTAGGCCTGTTCTACAATACAGTCGTAAGCTGTAAGTCGTAAGAAATTGACCAATCACAATCGATTATTCTTCTGTGATTTATCTGTGAATGGTCAATTTCTGATGACTTACGGCTTACGAGTGTATTGTAGAACAGGCCTTAGGCTGCGTTCGGGGAGTGCGCTATCAGCGCTGTTGCATCATTCTATCTTTATTGCTCATTAGATGTAAAACACAGATAGAATGGGTGCGTTCAGACAACTCAACGGTTGAGAGATCATCACTTATGATAGGACTATTCTTCAAAATCTGCTGCGGTTCCAAAAGTATGATCCAATCAGAAGTGATTATCTCTCAACCGTTGTGCAACTGTTGAGTTGTCTGAACGCACCCAATGACGCAATAGCGCTGATAGCGTGCTCCCTGAACGCAGCCTTATGGCTAGTCTACAATGAAGATAGTAAGGTTGTAGGAGTAGAGAGTAAACTATTTTTCGGTGAAGAAACAACAGGAGAGAGAGAGAGAGAGAGAGAGAGAGAGAGAATTACGAAATGGGCAATTTCCATTTCGCACTGTCTACTGCCTTATTGTTAGCCAATGAAAGACGTGTGTTAAAAAATGCGAAATAATTACTTGTATAAACAAAAATGAAATAACTCCAAGAACCTTACCTTACTTCTTACTCTATACTGCCTACTCCTATTGTAAACGGCCCTTTAGATCTCGAATCTCCAACCTCAAATTTCAGTGTAGTGGCTAATCATGATATTCGGTTTTTCATGACTAAACGAGAATATAAAAGCATTAAAGCCCCTTGCACAATGGAAGGAATAGCGATAGCGATAGAAATAACACAGTTTTTAACACAGAATTCCAACTCGTCGGAAATTTTATCGTTATTGCTTATTCCGATTTTCTGATCTGCATTGATACATGTGTAGTTTTGTATGTTAGATTCCGCTGTTCCTACCTTTATTTTTAAATATAAACTCTTTAAAACTTTTGTTATTTTTATCGCTTTCGCTATTCCTTCCATTGTGCAAGGGGCTTTAAAGAGTTTATATTTAAAAATAAAGGTAGGAACAGCGGAATCTAACATACAAAACTACACATGTATCAATGCAGATCAGAAAATCGGAATAAGCAATAGCGATAAAATTTCCGACGAGTTGAAATTCTATGTTAAAAACTGTGTTATTTCTATCGCTATCGCTATTCCTTCCATTGTGCAAGGGGCTTTACTCTATGCAGTTTGATGACTGATTCTCTTTAATCGTAAATTTCTCACTTCGAAACTTTATCGTCGTATATCTCGAAAAAATCAGAAAAAACAACAAAAACGCAAGAATACTTTTTTTTTTTTATTTTTTCATCGTGAATAGAACGAGACTAAAAAAAAAAGCTATATGTCTTCATATTGTGAGAAAATTGTGAGACACAAAATACGAACTTGAATCGGATTGTATCTTCGATTTTCTTTTTGCGATTTTGTCGATGATCACTACTGAACTTTCGTCGCAAACAAACAAACATGTTCAAGATAAATATGTTTTACTTATCGTGTCATATATAAAGTTATATAAAAAATAATATGTAAGATGTAACTATACCATATATTTGCAGCTTGATAATGTAATTAAGTATTCATATATACATATGCCAAGTGATAAAGCAAAGCACTTGTTCAAATGTCGTACTTTAAGAACGCATTTGATACGCATATATCTATATGAAGTATTTTAATCCAACTGGAGATTCAAAATGACGAGTTACTTTTTGTTCAAAAAAAGCACACATAAAATGTTCCACTACAAAATCATCTAAACATATATGTAGAATATGTAACAGTGTTAACGTGTAGTCGCGCACTCGTCGTGTCATAGGAACGTCATACACCAAGTTGAAAAAAAACATTTGCCATATGAGCGAACACTCTTGTCCATGCAGTTATTTTATTATCAATTTCTCTTAGAAGCGGCAGCGTGTCTCCTGGTAGAGCAGAGTTCTTTCTGGAAAAAATATAAGGTAAAAGTGTTTTTAAAAATTACAATTTTTAAAAATTGTAATTGTTTTAAAAACGAAAAAACGAATCAAGTTTACAAAATATTATATTTACATTGTGCAATATCATACAAAAGGCACACTCAGATTATATCGCAATACCTTTCTCTATCTAATTGCTGCTTCGTTTGATTAGTATAAGTATACATGTAACATGCTGGATGGGAACTCGTGGTGTTCACTAGATGAAACATTCCTGTTTTCACTGGAAGTGATCTTCCCTTCGAAATAGTAATCGTATCATTCGGCGATTTTTCCTCTTTGTAAGTTACCTCGCCCTCTAGCACGGTCAATGAAACATTCGTGAAGTCGTTGGATATGTAATTTTCCAGATACATTCCCGGAAAATCAGCTACGAATAACACGTCCGTATAATTCGACCATGTGTAAACGTGTTGTTGAATTTTGTCCATCTCATATCTGAGAAAAAAAGTTTTTTTATATGCGAGCAAATTCTACATCTAGTTACATATATGTAAGAGATTAAGATGGTTATATATGATTATATTTAATATATACAATAACGTAACCAGACACAATAATTGTTTATATATAAAAGACTTTTTTCCTCGAGTATTTGTAAACAATCAAAATTAGTTCAGTCATCAATATAGACATACCGATACGAATTGTATTGTGTGAGTAATGGCATCAGAAACGTAATAGGCTTCAAAGGATGCCAATCGACTGTCAACATATCGACATTTGGATTGTACACTCTCTGCTGAAATCTACTGTTCAGCGAACACCACACATCCATGTAGATGCTTAAATTCGTGGACAGTTTCATCCACTTTTCCTTATCCTCAAACCATTGATTGGTGTTCGTCACTTCCGCTTTTCGACGCATCAGATTATCCTAAAATTTAAACACACGCAAAAATGATATATATTATTATGATAAGACAAGTGATAGATGGTATATTCAATAATTACAGGCAAAAATGTCAAACAGCGTGCATTTTTAAAAAACCTTTAAGCATTGCGCGTATTGTATCGCCATGTCCCCGTGTTTCACCCATCGGTCTCCTTGCACCCATGCTTCGGGATCCAAATATTGAATTTCATTGTTTGCGTTATCGTGCACTTTAATTACTACGAGTATCGTGTCCCAGGCGTGGATCATCATGTCCCAGGAATAACCGTACATACCGGGCACCCAATTGTTGTAGCCCTGAAATGACATATAAAGAGAAAACGTTTAAACATATTATTTTTAGAAATAATACTTAAGAGCCAGTAGTGGACAATGTAACTTTGACAAACTTGAAACCTTTGATATAAAATGCGAATACGGTAGAAAAAACTGCATCGCAACATGACACAGCAACAGAGACACAACGAACTTCTGTTTTTTTGTAACTTTCGATGACTTCGATTGCTGATTTTCTCGGGCTTCTTCGCAAACACTTGTCGTTTCTTTTTCGACGGATTCAGTTAACTTTTGAAATAATTGTGTATTGTTATCTTGTTCGCTTGCATCTTCAGATTCTGTTTTAACGACATTATTTTTACTATTTTTCTCGCTTTCTGTCTCTAAAATTTCTTTCTCTAAAAGAGTATTACGTTAACATATCAGAATGTATATTAAAATAATACGCATAGTACAAAAAAATATTAAGTATTTGTACCTTCGTGTGTCGTTTCGTCGTGTTTCTTTGAGTTGTAGTTTAAAGAATCTTCTATTTGACTATCAGTCTCACTCTCTTTTATGTCATTTGTATTCTCACTAGTTGAAAACATTTTTTGTTTCCAGTCAATAAAGTAAAGTTCTAATCTACGTGGCCAATCCACTCGACAAAAGAGCGGCATTGTCGCCATACACACGTACGGAAACATTCCTGAAAAAAATTTTTCTCTCACAAGTTTTTCTTTTACATATTTTTGCATAAACAATTGAAATCTTATAGGTTTTCCCTATAGAGGAAACAATATTCTCAATTACTCTCATATCATCACATTTCAAAAGTATTCTGTTTAGTGTGTTCGAATCAACTTACCTATTCTAAATAGCCTAGAGTTCATAAAGTGAAATGCGGTGCAGAATATCATGGCCGGTATTCGTGTTTTTTCGAACAGCATCCAAAACCCAACGGACAAGTCGAAGATAAAGGCGAACCAGTGGACGATTAATAAGTCCGTTTGTTCAGGTTTTAAAAATATGCTAAAAGAAATTATTTATTTTCAATAAATTGCTCTATTATTGATTTTGATAATTTTTAATTTTTTATTCTTCGTGTCGAATAATGAAAATAAACTGCTTACTTAAATGGATGGAAAACCCAGTGTCTGGACAGGTTCATCATGGAGTAGCCTTCGAGCCATTCTCTTCCGGATTTTTTCAAACCGGCCAAGAAATAAAGCACGAAAAATTGAAACTTAAGAATAAAGTAATTCCAGTATGGAACGAAATTACTGTTTTCTTTTGTATTACTCACATCCAGACCGCTGCAAAACAGTGTGTTAATTTTTACAATTGTAATTAGTTTCCATTGTAATTAGGTCGCGATTACACAACAAACAGCAGATTTTCGACTTACTAATATTTATTAGCACCCGTTCCCCAGAACAAAGTAGCTACTATACCATAAAGATAAGTATGATTGTTCCAGTAGCTCTTGTCCAAAAGAAAGATGTACCAGTAAGGCAATACAAAACAGGCGCATGCGAGTTTGAAGTGAAAACCGAGCGCGATTCCAAAAGCGCCTATCCACATCACCGTGTATATTATTATCATCCACGATAGAGACGGCGGTTTCATTCCGTGAATCAATGGAAAATGGCAGTCCCATGGATCTCCCCACTTTAAGTCAATATCTGCGAATCCTCTTTCCTCCACAATGTCTATCACCATGCATAGTCCTGAAGAAAAAAACAACGTTAACGAACTTTCAGTTAGATAAAAAATTTTTTCACTAAAGTATTTATTTATGACTAAAATTATATAAAAATAGTCATTTTTACACATTATTTAAAACGGCCTCATTTGTAATGACAATAAAAAAAAGTTTGTGATGTTACACAGATATTCAAATAAACCCTGTGTGATAAACAATATGTAAACTTTTTCTACGGGCAACATAAAATCACAGTTGTGCTTTTATTGGCTCGAGCTATTAATTCTCATCACTGCTTTAATAGGTCTTAAATTGTGTCTAGTTCTTCTGTCATTACCAAATAGAGCTCGAGCGATTCCCAGACTGGCTGGATCAGTCGGACGATAAAGAAATTGAGTGAATTTCTCAAAACTTGACACGTCGCTCGTTTTCACACCGGACAGTTTCTCGAAGGTATTGCTGAACGATCGTCTGAATGACATCCACCGATATTCAGAAACTTTCTCAGAAGTTTTCACAAGTGATGATCCATCGTTCAGTGACGCACACGCGCTTTCGGTCAATTCGTCTTTTTCCTTCATACTGCACCACAATTTCTGCAAACAGAAAATGTTGGAATTTCTTAATTTAAGAGACGCAATTTAGATAGCGTGCACACATATGACTTAATAGAGAGCGCGGTACACCAAAGCGATAACTTTTCCAGGTACTTATTTCTGTTAATTTGTAGCAGAGGAAGATTGTAATAGTGACTACATAAGCTGTGCGACTGCTGTCATCATATATATTTATATATAAGAAAAATGTACAAAATGTTAGTTTTATTTATCGTGTGACACACTCTTTAATTGAGAACGATATAAATATCTAAAGGTCGCTGTATACACAGAAGAAAAGATACAGCTTGTCGTTATAGGAAAAATGCCAGTGCGCAATTATAAGTAACGAATATTAAAATAAAGATTAATGAAGAAAAGAAATGTGAGAAAAAAAACGTTAAAAAATTTATCAAGAATTAAAAAATTTGATTTTATTGTAATTATATTGTAGACACTAAAATTTATGTTAACTGTATTGTGATATTTTTGAAGTTTTTTTTTATCAAAATTAAGTTGACAAATTAACAAGTAAAAAATACATGTCAAAAGCCGCAATGCAATTATGCTCTCAAACCACATGCAAGGTGTAAAGATCATCGTAATATTAACAATGTGATTTTGAATTATTTCCCGCGCATGTGGGATATTTCACGCATTCGTGACGTGTTTCCTCCGCAAACAAATTAGACCCTATTTCAAACGTACAAATCTCAATAAATATAAAAAGAAGATTGGAATTGCTAGTCTCGTACCTGGTTGGTTCGCTTCTTTACGCATAAATGACACAATGGAAGGAATCAGTCGCTGAGATTGGAGTACAAGATCTTCGTCTCCGTTTCTGTGTCAGCGCGGAAGAAGCTCGTCAGCTTCTGGAGTCTGGAGCAGCTCTGAAGAAGGAAGAGAAGCACTTCGCGCCGGTTGTTCCGGAGGTTCAGAGTAGGAATACCGTCGCCAGGCAACGTGGCACGGATTATTGACCCGCGCCCGCGCAATAATTATACTTAGCAACACTTCTTCGTTCTACGTGCACCGGGATTTTTGTCGAAGATATCGATTTTTCATCGAGAACTGAACGGGATTCCCAAGTAAACAGTATCAGAAATTCCCAAAGTTTTTATTAATACATTTTAAAATAGATTTTGAAAGAGAATAGAATAAAAGTGTACGAGACGCAATTTTTTATTAAACTTGTAATTTTTTTTTGCTTATTAAATATGGAAAAATTTATAAAACAAATATTACATTATATATCACATTTATAAATACTTGACTAAATTACTCCGACTTTATATATAATCGTTGACTCTACGTTTATCTTTCTTGTCACTGGTTTTCGCGCACCATTGCAACTTGCGAAATGTTTGCAACATTCATGAGTAACAATTTCGGCGAAAAGCATTGAAGACAATCTCGCGCGGACACGTATCTATGGGCTGTGTGTCAGAGTGCAGAGATCTTTCTCGCTAAGAAGACATCTCTCATACGTCACACCGCTCTCGTTTTAGATACAACACGCGTTATCTCTCCTCTCGTTAATTTTGCTCTTCATATCAGAATACGCAACGAGAATAGATTTTTTTTAGCAACGAGCTAATGAACAAAGCGCGTGTTTCATTTTTATTTGTGAAAACATGACAAATTTTATTTTAAGTGAACTAACAGTTGGAGTTTTTTTTTCTAGAAAATACTATATGTGTGTGGGTTAATTATGTGGATAATTATGTGTGTGCGTGTTTTACAATATCTCTGTGTTCTCCGAGTCCAAAATATGAACATTTACAAACACGTTACGTTACGATGAAATTTGCTCGCGCGCATACGAGTGAAATAAATAAGTGTACGTAGTAAATAATGCCTGTCACAATAGCCGAGATTATTTAATCGCGCTGTGCCCGGCGTCGTTGAATCGACACCGGGAGTCTTTTCGATCTCGCAGCTGGGGCGTTTTAATGAATGGACGTCACTTCTTCGCGCGCGTTGCATACATATTCTCAACGGCCGTTTTAGGGCTATAAAACAAAAGACTGATTTATTTCAGCGCGCCCCTCAATCTGTCTCCGCGGACCACTTTTGATTAGTGCTGCCTCTTCAAGTTTCTGCCTCTTCGAAATTGCTGTCTCGTGACGGATTTCGTCTCTCGGTCTCTAGTCACCTGGTCCGATTTGAATGAGCTAAAATACGGCTACCAAAATGTACAATCAAAAATTTATGTTTTTCAACACGAATAATTGTTTGAAATTAACACTCGCGCATCGTGCAACAATCGTTCAAACATTCCGCTTTTCTTTTATCAAATCGAGCTCAGGTCTCATCGTTAAGCAGAAAAATTAATATCGATATTTGTTTATTCTTCGACGCATAGATCACTTTGTATTTGCCGAACATATTTGTTTTGGAATTCAAACTCAGCCGCACCTGGAAATCGACGCGAAGAACAAGCGGAGGAGAGAATGAGACGAGGAAAGCGGAGTATTTGCTCAGCTATTTATCACGGTTTATTATTTCCCATTGTCGGTAGAGTCGTTTGTATTGTTGACGCACGAGAAGAGGGCCAAAGCGAATCTCTAAAACCGTGTCCGATCGAATTTGCATAGAAAGCACGGGTCGAGCACGCGCGCGCGCGCGTGCATCCGATTACGCAGGCTCTATTAATTGCGGTCATGCATTGTTTTCGCAAGGTTGCCTATTTCTCGGATTACCGAGTATCATCTTTCTCAGGAGAGTGATCAGACCACGAAATGATATGCAGCTCTTGCCTCATTAGTAATGTGACTGCGCTTGTGTTTAATTAATAATCTTCTTTGATGAACCAATTGTATTTTTTTTTTAGACATCAAATTATTTTGCACATTTCTACGTTCTCTTTAATTTTGGAAAATTATATTTGTTGAATATTTATTATCGAGCTCTTCGAAGTTACGGGCTGTTGTCACGCAACAACATTGTCGCGTAGATGCGGGGTGAGGAAGAGGGGGAGGGGCTAGAAATGGAGTGGGCAAAAAATCGGGCATAAAATTAACAGTATACAGTCTGTGCAGAATGCAGTTTGTTGCTTGGCAGTAATATTTCACGAAGGTCTCCCCCTGCGGAGTAGAGAGTGGGTTCGTTCTCCAGGGGAGGGCGCAACAATGGAACCCTTTACCGAGCCCCCGGTGCCCAGAACCAGCATCCATACATCATCATTCATACCGGAAAAAAAGCCGGGGGGCACCTTTGCAATGCGCAAAGACTGGGGGACCGCGAAACTTTCGAGGCATCAAGTATATTTCCCGACGTAACGAGAGATCGGAGTCTTGCGTTTCTGATTTGCTCTATTGAAAAAAACAACGCTTTAATTTTTAAAATAAACTATATAAAATTAGTTTGTACACTTTTTTTTCTGTAATGTTAATATTTTTATTGATGACTGGAAAGAGAAAAATCAGACAAATTATCAAGATAACAATTTATTAAAAGAAATTGTTAAGTTTTGTTTTACATTAATTATTTTTGTTCACAACATGTGTTCTGTATGTTTGATTTTGTCGAGGTTTTTTTTGAACCACGATCATGCGATAAATGCAACCATCATTTCGACACGCGAAGCGTGCAGAACGGATGTGTTGACTCTCGACAAAAATCGCGTGTTAGCTTCGTGGTTACTGCGCTTGTACAAGCCGAACTTACCCTCTCGAAAGATCCGCCTTTTACAGAAAGGGTTGCCTGTAAACAATGACGAGCAAAAATTGCCGCAAGTTCAAAAAATCTCCCCGTCTACCGAACGAGGGAAAAGAAAATCCTTCATCGATGAAAGAAGGATACGATCGATTTGGACTAATCGATCACGCAAGAACTGGCAGTCATCAAGATCGTCGGGATCGACTCGGCGTGAAGTGAGAACTTATATAAAAAAAAAAAAAAAGAAAACGAGATATAGCGAGCGTAATCCGCTTTTCGAAACGAGACAACCCCCTTCGTAGACGGCGGCCCGTGTCACAGCACGGGTGACTGATTGTAAAACCATGGAGTAACCCACAAAGGGTTGCGACGCGAAAGCCAGCAAGCGAGAAAGAAAGAGAGTTGCGGACTTGCCAGGAAGGGGAGAGAGAGTTTAAAATTACGACTCGTAATCGACGTGTAATCCTCTACAACCGTGACAGCCTGGATATAATGCGCGCAACGAGAGATGACCAGTTTGTTTTCTCTGGTAGATAATGGGTCACGTTGAATGAGGGCGTTTTATTTCTTTTTTTTTTTTTTCGCTTCTTTTGATACCAGAAAAAGTTAAAGAACAATTGTGTGGCTAAAAATCAAAAAAAGAAAAACCTGTAATTAAGTATTTAAATTTTCTTATAAACAATTAGCGTGTGGAGAAGATATCAAGGACAGCATATTTCCACTGTTCTTGCTGTCTTGATTACCTCTAAGAGCGTGATCGGCGCGTAGGTAGGTAAACACCCAATCAATATTCCATTTCGATGAAGGCAGTCTTCCAGAAGTGCGATCTCGATCGGCTTCCTTCACGGTTGGCTTGTCGCAGCTGCCACGTTGCTTTCCAAAAATGATTTAGTGTTTTTTTTTTTTTTTTTTAGTAAAACTCGCGTAGATGTGTTTTATTAGGGTGCTTTCACACTTAGGGTTTTGATTCTTTTCACACGCAGAGCTTCTCTCGCGCTTTTGTAATTCAACACCTGTAGCTATTATACCTATAAAACAGTGATAGATAATAAACAAAATAATATGTAGGTTTATTTTGTTTTTTGCAAATTATCTTACACGATTTGAGTATTTTTTTAACGTATTAAATTCAAATAAAGTTTTCAATTTTGAGAAACAGTAACAATTTTTATTCGATGATAATTCATATGCGTTGTTTACGAGCATTCGCATTAATATCCTGGGACAACGTGCGTGAATAAATTAAAGTCTGATTAGCAGTTCGTGTGCTTTGAACGACAACAATTTATAATCCTAGAAGCGGGTAGACTGACGTGCTCGCGTTATCGTGCAACACGCGAGGGATTTTCATTCTGCGTGCGCGTTCATCCGAAAGGACGTTTTTAGGGCGCTGCGGGGGTTACAGGTACCCTGATCACACAGAAGACACCGGAGCGCGGACGATTGTCGCATAGGGGGATGACACGACAAACGGGAGGTCCTCCCCGCCTCGCTGGATCTTGTTTTGGGGAAAAATCTAGCGATTTTTATCGGCATCCTGTTTTTCCCGTGCGCACGGGGAACGGATCCTTTGGGAGTCTGTGTTTTTCTTTGACCTCGACAACTTATGACGAAGGGGATGCAAAAGAGAGATAAAAAATGTATGACTGTGAGGGCGTCTCTGAGAGATAAATTAAAACTACATAAATTTTTTGCACATTCAGAGAAAGAAAAGATATAATTATATGCGTACTTATATAATTATTATTATATAATTACATAGCGTCTTCTAATCATAGGGATTAATTTATTATAATTATAAAGTCTGTACAAGTAACGTATTCCATGACATTGTGTGTATGTGTGTATCGTGTACTCTAAGCACTCGACGATTGAATCTTTTTCAACGCATTTCTAGACCCCTGTGTATTTAATTTATCTAAAGAATTGAATTGAAGAGCAATAGCGCGTGCAGTCTTTTTTTTTTTTGATTATATATATAAGTATTATTATTTCACGGCCAACGGTAACTGTTTTACTTATTCGCGGACTGAACCACTTCGTTCTCAAGTGGGCCGGTTAACATCTGCGATGATCATCAGACGTGAAAAACACGTGCGCGCGCGTTTTTTTAAGATTATGAAAGTGTTTTTTTGTATTTTTTTAAAAATGTTTATAGGTATTAAATATCTCTCACAATACAACTAGAAATAATTTTATGAAAATATTGTAACCCGCACACACACACACACAGAAACTTTAGAAACTTTTATGTCAAACATGTTTGTGCGTATTTACGTGTTTTTGTGCATAAGCTCTTGACAAAACCACAGCATATAATTAATAAAGCGGATAATTCCTAGCGTTATTTGGCCCATATTCCTGGTCCCGAGTTCCTAAAGAGATAATGATCGCTCTTACGAGGGCAACCCGGTAATATAATATACGAAAACTCCCTCGGGACGGGAGAAGATGAATCTTCGCGAACTGCGCGGACAAAGGCGCGTTCTCCCTCGAGTACTCTCCGGAAACTGGGCTTCTGTCTCC